TGCTGATGATATAAAAAGTTAAATAAACATGAATACTAAATGAATAAAACTCCAAATTGCATTATATGAAACTTTCAAGTGAGAAGATATCAGTACATGTTGTGATGCATTAAGGCGTCTGTTAACTGTTAAGGAACTGTTTGTGGCTACAGTAGATGGAAAAAGAAATATCTGCTTTGTCTCTTGAGTGTGACAATAATGGATCTCACTAATAACGAATCTCCGTCTTCCTGTTTGCTCTGCAGCCCGACATGTAATCCACTTCAAACACGGCCAGTGCATTGCTCGGGACTTAAAGAAGCGCAGTGTTGACTCTGAAGTCATCAGGATGGGTGTTGGTCATTTTGGACGTCTTTTTGGGATCCTCAGCAGACCCTTTGGCCTCATGTGGGCAGAGCTCCTGTTGCTAGGCAACACCACTGTAGGGATGTTTTGTAGGCCAACGGCTTGTGCATAAACGGGGCCAAATCAATGACAGACAAAACCTGGATTCAGGCGCTGCTCTACTTAACATGACTTGAGTTGTACAGTATGTTTGCCGCATCTATCTCGTGCTGCACAGAACATCCACCTGCGTTCTTTATGCACCACATTTATATGATGACATGAGAATCATTCAGAAGTTTAAGATGGAGCACAGGTCAGGATGTTTGCATGGAAAAAACGGACTCATGCAGATGTGATGTGATGAAACACGTCCTGATTAAAGGAAACTACTGTCAGACGTACAGGGTCCCGACACAGGATCATAATGTGGGTTAACTTTGTGTCTGGTTTCAGGTTCATCTCAGGATTGTTTAAAATTAAAAACTAAAATGTCTTTGTGGCATAAAGTCAGGGTGCAGCTTCATCTCTCAGGTTGTATTTAGAGATTCAATTTGCAATTTTTCACAAAATCAGGTTTAAGTTTCAGGTTTGACTCAGGCTTCTCTTCCACTGCGGTATTTCAGCACTTCTTTTTTTTTCAAACGTGATGTTGTGACTTCTCTACATATCACATGAAACAACAGGAAATGTCAACCTGAGCTGTAGGATAGAAGTTGCCCTGCTGCAGGCTAAAGTAGCTCAAAACTGGAGCTGAGGCCTTGGGATTTCACAACCTATTAACCACGGCTATTTATGGCCATCTCGGCCTACTGTGGACAGGACACTCTTCATCTGAGAACATCACGTCTAATGATAAATATAGACGTCTCAGTTTTTAACCTATAGGGATGCCATGAAAGAGCATTTAAATAAGCACTCATAAAGTTGAGGGAGAGGACATGATTGTGTCGGAGAGTCCAAATCGTATTTTTCGCTCACTTTATCAGATCCACAGATCGGCTCCTGCAAACCTTCATCCTTCATTTCTTTTGTTTGAATTTTATCTAATTCTAAGATTTTAAAACACAAAGTCTCTTGCAAGAGTCTGAAGGTGGTTTTAAATATAAAAGAAAACTATTCATCAGTCTTTTGCTGGAAATCCCTCTCAGTCTGTGAAAGCCATAGAAAGAAGTAGAATAATTGAATAAAATTGGGTTTGCAGCTTTACATAAACATATCTGGTTTTGAATTCGTCTGCATTTCTTCAAAAGCACGAGACGCTGTGTGATAACGTTACATAATGCCGGCCAATCACCTTAGTTACGCTCACACAACAAACAATAAACCTGTTTTTATTTGTTCTTTTTCTGCATTTTTACAGTGTAGGAGGAGCTGTGGGTGAAATGAGCCTGAGAGTGCAAACTTAATACTTTCATGTAAAATATATGATTTGCACATGCAAATGCCAAAACTCCGCGGGACGAGACGACAGTTTGCCTGTGATGGATGTCTTTGATGTTTTTTAATGCATAAACTGCATCTAGTGAAAAATCACAATAATAAAGGATGTAAACAGTTTGTTTAGCTGCAGTACAGTCACCGGATTGATTGTGACTTCATAACAAGAACCCAAACCACATCACATATCTGGCTTCAGCGACAGGAAGGCCTGCAGTCAACGACGAAGCAGGAAGGAGTCAAGAAGTGAACAAGAAATGGTTCAACGGCTTTGAAATCGATGGTATATAAAGCAGCTAACGTGTTTGTGTGCTGTTCGGGCTTCTTCCAGCTAAAGCTTTAAATAAAGCTCCCATTAGCTTTCCTGCTGTCAGTCAGGAAGGGTAAATAACGCATCTGCACTAACCTTAGGGATGTATGACTAAGCACACAGAATCAGGGTTGGTAATAGGTTGTGATAGAAGCAGGAGAGACTCGTGATGTGAATAGGAGGTAAACCAACGCTGTATTTTACTGTACTGCACATCAAGCCCAGTAACCTCCAATCATTTAGCTGAAATAGGTTTTAATTGTTTTCTATTATTCACATTGCGTCTATTACTCATCACAACAGGAGGAATTATCAGCTAATCAGAGTGACGGCGAGTTTCTGGCAGCGTGACGGGTCGGCCTTCAACACGGGAGACGTGACCTGTGCGTCCACGCATACTAATCTGTGAAGTGTCAGAGAAAGTGAGAGCTGACAGGTTTCAGCTGAGACCAGCCACACCCGAGGGTTTCTACGCATTACACAAGCCCACGTCTTTCCCTCGCCTCAGCTTATCGCCTCGCTTTGTCAGTGAAGGTGGGGATCAAGCAAGCGGAGTGAGAAAGTTTAAACTGTGAGCAGGCTCTAAAAAGGCCTTTGAAGTGGATAGGTGATGGCGAATAAGTTTTTGTGCAGGATTAGTTCGAAAGTGTTCTAATTCTGCTGCATTACTTGCAGCAAATAAACACGAATTAGGGGCTGATAGTCTAGATAAACTGAAAAAAGCCTCAGGTGTCACAGAGCCCAATCCCAGTTGCATTAGGTTCCTTTATTACGGTAAATACTGACATTTGCATCGACGAAACAGTTCCAGCTCGTGCCCGTCTCTGTCACGTGATTTCTAGCAGCAGACAGTTTGCTCAGCTGTCACCAGTAAATGCCACAGTTTCCATTTTTCAGAGAACTTTATGCAGTTTAGTCCAAGTTGGTCTTAAAGTTAAGATCCAGCACCGACACTCAATCACAATCAAAGTCGCTTCAGCGCTAACAGAAATCAGTACGAAAAACAAAACTGCCACATAATCTCTATCAGCTGAAGTAGCTTCTATGTTTTCATTTGTCTGACTGGCAGTATTTTGCATTTTATGTTTCTTGTGTTTTTAGTTTTTCTGCGAAC